AGGGGCCAGCAAGTGGTGTGGTGGTTAAGGTGCTGGAATTCCCACATGGCTGACCACAGTTCAAGTCCTGGACCTGGAAGCTTGCTTTCTCTCTCTCTTTCTCTGGCAAAACTCATGTGAAAAAAATAATAAGTAAGTAAATAAATAAATAAAATTCTTTAAAAAAAGAAAAGAAAAAGAAATTATAAATATGGAAAAGAAAAGCTTGCATCGATATTGTAATCATGGATTAGAACTGGAAGGATAAGGGCTGGTTGGCAGCACAGCAGTTAAGCAAAGATCATGTGGAGTCAGATCCCGCATGGCTGACCATGGTTCGAGTCTCAGCCCCAGTGACTTGAAGAACATGCCGGGCACATGTGTGTGCATGCCCCAAATCTCGACAGCATGAAGAAATGGAGGAGAAGGGACTGTGGTTTGGCCAGGCCTCATTGCTTCCTCCCCCCACCCCCTCACCCCTCTGGCAAGTACACATGCCCTCTGGCAGAAAGGGGGGGAAAGGAGGTGGAACTATCAATATGAACTCACAGCTTTCTTCTTTTTAATTTGCCAGAGGGCCTATGTGCTCACTGAAGAGCCAGAGAGAGAGAGAAAGTGAGGGAGCACCCTCCATGGGGAAGGGTCATGCTGCCATCTCGTCCCCTCCATTTCCCCCCTTTTGGGCAGGCACACACATGTGCCCAGCGTGCTTCTCAAGCCACCAGGTCCAGAACTCAAACCATACAGCCGATCATGTGAGCTCCAGCCTCCTTAACCAACATGACAATACATATACACAAAAATAAATATAAAGTAAGAAATCTGGGTTTTGCATGTTTTTCTATGCACAAATGTGTCATGACTTTTCCCGTGACCCAACAGACACACACACACATAGCTACAGATACTGGCTCTGTGTACATACACATATTGCCCAGCTGAGATGAATGCAGTAGCAATGAGCTTCTAAGCAGAGTTCCAAAAATTAATGGAAAATGGAATTACAATATGGGTTTATTTAAGAGCAAAACTTCTTTTGAAATCAATGCATAGGTTTTTACATAATACACATTTTACACAACCTTTTTTTTTTCCCTTCCAGTCTGCCAGAGAGCGCATGTGTTTGGGGGACAGGCGGAGTGAGAAAGGGTCTGGTTGCATCACAATACTCTCTAGCCCAGCTCTCCCACCTTGCAGGAATTTGGCCATGCAAACAAGCACTCGCTATTTCTCAAGTCTAGGACTTGTGCTATGGAATCCAGTTGCCAGGCCACAGACTGGCTCTCCTCCCATTACTCCTTATACACCGTGCTAAGATCTTGCTTTCTAAGTAATGTTCTCCACTTGATACAGTAAGTCCCCTTAAAAAAAAAAAATGACTCCAGGGCAGGGCCAGGGAAATTAGAACATGATCACAGAACATCTTGTTTTGCCAAAAATTAAAGGGCGTGCTCAAAGCATGATGGAAAAGGACCAGCAGCCAATGTGGAGGGGCTCCCACTGGCCAAATCTGGGTCAATTTGAACATTAAAATAAGTTATTGTAACAGTCTATAACTTACTGAATAAAATAAGAATCTATGAGTTCAGGGGCCAGCAAGTGGCATGGTGGTTAAGTTCGCTGAACTCCCACATGGCTGACCAGGTTCAAGTCCCAGATCTTTCACTCTGTCTCTCTCTGGTCAAATTTAAATAAATAAATATAAAGTAAAATAAAATAATTCTTTTTTTGGGGAGGAGAGGTTTTTGCTATAGGGTGCGTGCGCTCACCAGCCAGCCAGAGACAGAGAGACAGAAAGTGAGAAGTCACTCCCCCACGGGGGATGGCCACGCCGCAATCCCTTCTCCTCCATTCTCCTCTCGGGATCTTGGGCACGCACACACACACACGCCCGGCATGAGTTTAAGCCACCGGGTCCAGGACTCGAACTGCGGTCGACTACGTGGAAGTCCAGCGACATAGCCATTACGCTAACTGCTGGTCCCAAATAAAATAATTCTTAAAAAAAAAATCTATGAGTTCATACTAACATAAATAAGTAAGGGGAAGAGAAGGAAAAGCTCTTTCTCAGAGTAGAATGCAACAATAAGTGTAGAACGAATAATGGTGGAAGTAGTCATAGCTCAGGAATAGCTAACGTAATAAAGTAATAACTGATTAGCTATTTCTTTGTAAGAGCTCAGGAATAGCTAACGTAATAAAGTAATAACTGATTAGCTATTACTTTGTAAGAGCTCAGGAATAGCTAATGTACTAACTGGTTCGTTCAGGAATTATCAGTGGGAACTTAAAACAGTGTGTGCAGGCTTGATGAGAAACTGGTGTCTACAGAGAGTATTTATCAGAAGAGCCTTACTAGTGACAAAGGGAGAGAGAGTGGAGAAGTCTGGCAGGCACCACCTTAAGGAAGTGTTCTAAGGTAACACCACCAGTAATGGGGCAAACCCACATTGCGAGCACTAGGACCCGTCTTCTGTGGCAATCCTG